GGTACGTGCCTGCTTGTCGCTCCGTTATTAATGGGATCTCTTCCGCGGGAATTCCGCCAATAAGGTCGACGCGGCAGGATCACGGCCTCTCTCTCTCTCTCTTTCTTTCTCTCTCTTTCTGTCTCACACACATCTCTGTCGCTAGCCCCCGCGTTTTTCTCCCGGTTCGCATCCCCTTCCCCCCTTCTCTGTAGCTTCCCCCCCCCCCCGATTACGACGCTCAGCCTTGTCAAGCCGCTCTTTCTCCCTCTGGCCGAGCTTTTCAAAGTACACCGCGTACATGCAAAAAAAAAGTGTAGAAAAAAGTTGTACGCCCGACACGTCATATCTTACGGGGCGTGCAGCTCGCCGACGCTCTCGCCGACGCTCGATAACCGCGTTTGATGAATACCGATTTATCGTACCGTGTGTATACGCGCGTACGTTGCGCGTGGATGTGCGGATGTATGTACGAGGGAAAGGAGTGGAGGGTGGGGGGAGGGGAGGTATCTCACCTGTACGCGCGCCTGGTATCTTTCATCCCGCACGCCCGCGTGCGAAAGCGCTCGCAAAACAATTTGTTATCTCTCGCCCGAAATGCAGTCGAAGGCCACGATCGTGTATCAGAAAGGAGAGAGTATAGGATATCAATTGCGAGATACACAAGGCGAAACGCTAAACTCGCGCAAACGTACAAATGTGAGAGAGATATATATATATACATATATATCTTTATACGTGCAAAGCGTAACGCTCTTTCGAAGTAAATTTAGCAGAGGGAGGGTGGAATATGTATATTTAAAATGTAATTCGCGAAAAGAGAAAGATACTCGAGACGCCTTGACTTTTTGAGATATTTTGAAAGCGCGACATTTTCGAGACATCGTCGTCGACTAAGTAAATACCAGCGTTGAAGGACGTAACGGAAGGCTAAAGGGTACCGAGAATCATCAGCATTGTCGGACGTCGGTCGGTATTGTGCATCCGCTGCATATTTCGCGTCCAAGACACATCCGTTTCCGTCATCGTTTCCACGGAACAACATTGTATAATCGCGATACTTAGTAAGCACATAGCCCGGGATCCACGAATGCATTCCCGCGTCACTTTCTTCGCGCTCGCGCGAGGCGTGCATTTCGCGCGCGTTAACAGTTTATATACGAAAGAAGCGCGCGCGTCGCTCAATGAGAGGCGAGTGCGAAGGGGACCGCACGAATTATCCGCTAAAGTTCGTGAGTGGTTTTTTGACAAAGCGAATGTTTTTTTTTTCTCTCAGTATTACAATTAATTGACGTTTTCCCGAAGTGCCGGCGAAAGTAACGCCCGTCTGTCGAGGCTCGATTACAGCGATAGATCTAATTTCATGCAATCCCCACCCCCCTCCCGGTTTTTGATTCCCCCGGTAATCAACAGATACAGAGAATGGAAAAGAGGGAAAGAGAGATCGCATAAACACGTACACACAAACACACTTAAATACGTACATAACACACATACACATACCTATTCACACGCAGAGACAACGCAGTGTTCAATATTTTCGGAGTCACCCTGTAGATCGAAAATCTCGCATATAGTAACTAACAGATTGTATAACACTTAAGCTTTCCGTAACGATACGAAAGACATACGAAACCTACGAATTGTTATGTTTTCTACAGTAACGTTTGTACTACCGACTTACAACAATATTTGTACAATATACGATAAAAGAGAAATGTGTACCTATACAACATAGGTTACCCAGATGCAATAACTTTTTTAAACGGTGTTAATGGTTACCGGAATATTTTTCATACTTGTAACGACTCGCCGCGGCGTCCCGTACGTCCGTCCCGTCCGTCCCGTCCCATCGCGACGCGATGCGACGCGACGCGACGCGGCCGCGCGGTATAACCCGCGGCAAACCACTACTCGTTTCGTTTTGTGCCAACCAGAGTCTTAGATTTTGCTTTTCCAGGATTTAATAACGTGCTGTTAAAGCGTAACAACACATGTAACCGGACCTTTAAGGAATCGAATGCCCATGCCATTCCACTTTAGCACATCTCGACACCAAGCACCCACGCCCATTCGCTTGATTATCGAATATTAGAGGGAGAGATAGAGACAAAGAGAAAAAAGGAAAAAGAAAAGAGAGAGAGAGAGAGAGAAAAGAGAGAATGCATGTATGTGTGTATGTGATGTATGGCGCGCGCGCGCGCGCGCGCGTGTGTGTGTGTGTGCGTGTGTGTGTGTGTGTGTGTGTGTAAAAGAGAGAGGAGAGAGAAAGGAAGTTGAAAGACAGAGGGAAATGTGTAGTGTACACATAGTTTGTCAGCAAAAAAAAGCGAACGTTGTTCTTCGAGCGAGCGAGAGACGGAATTTGTGCGCCGACGAGAAAATGTTTGTTTGCGACGAGACTCTCGAAACTATCTCGCGGCGTTAGTAATTCGATTATCGGACTTTGCGAGAACGGATACGGGAGAGCTGTAAACGGAACGCAAACGCCAATGGTGCCGTTACGATCTCTCCGCGATGCATTCGACAATGTGCACTCGATATTCCGATGCACCGAGTTGTCGCGGAAAATTAAGAGCAATATAACTCGTGCGCTTGTCATAGCTCAGAATAAAATAAAGTTTTTAGAACGTTAAAAGCTCCTCGATGCTTATGCGCAACAGTACCATTGATGTTTTCCTTTTTTAATCGCATTTGTGAGAGAAAGGCGTTTTAATTGAATTGAAAAATTCCGAAAAAAGATTCTTCAATTTTTTTAATCACAAAGGCGACGCAATCAAACATTTAATACCTCAATCACTTGTTTCGAGATTTTCTTGGTCGCACTCTAGAGATCATTGAGTTGCTACGAGCAATGAAGACTCACAAAATTATCAATTTATCAAATCTTATCTTAGAGCAAAAAAAAAAGAAAAGAGAGGAAACAGCAAAAGTAAAAATGCAATTGGCATATCAATATATATAATGTATAACACATTAACCGTTAGCATCACAACAAATCCTATTTATTTGCAACTATATATTCCGGACTGAGCAAGTTTTTCATCTGTATACTACACTACGTGTCTATTGAAATTTCTTTTTAAATTATGCATCAAGAAATGCACTAAGATAATAGTTAGAGCCAAAAATATGTCTCAGCTTTGCGAATTAAATATTTTCGCTGCAAACATGACATTAATAAAAAAATATTAAATTGGTGTTTCTACGAGGTTAATGATATATTTTGCTTTTTATCAACAAGAAGACACACTCGCACGACTTTTTTACAACTCTACTACGCCGATATATTTTTAATCCGGTTGTACTATTTGCTCTTTTTTGCTTTTCGAACACCTTGTACGTGTACGGTATCGCGTGATACTCGGAACTCCCGAGTGCGACCTTGCTGATCTTAGATATTATGGGCTGCGATAGGACACGTATGTGAGTTATCGAAGCGCGATCTTCGTTCTGCGGTGGAATAAAAAAAAAGTACTACCGACCAACCGACCAATGCATCTCGTTTTTTGGATATTCTACGTTTATTTCTGCGGGTCGTTCGACGATAGCAGGGCGACGTGATGTCAAAACTTCGTACGTGATTAGACGATTCAACGAACGAAAGACGATCGAGTCTGCATCTCACAATTTTTTCCTTTTTTAGCAGAATATTCTTGTTCTCATTGCCATGCCATCTAGAATAATTTATAGGTGCATAATTTTTAAAATTCACTTTAATCAGAAATTTTCTCGTAAATATATTTTTAGAAATAGAGAAAATATAATAATCTTCCCAATAAGTGTGAGAACGAAAAGTTAATTGTCATGGAAAAATTAATTTCTTTTTCTGGGATGATAAAGAATTAATTTTAAAATATAGTACTTTGAAAAATAAGAAAAATCATTTATTTACAAGTAAAAAATCGTAAGATTAAAACCGTATGAAAAATTTATCATGATAAGCACTCGTCTCTATCGCGAATGACTCGTGAGGGGAAAAGACAGGGAAATGTATTGTCAAAAATCGTGCTGTGTGTGCCCCCGAACTCATTGTAACCGAGTGTCGCCGTGTTCAACTTGCACAAGCGTTCACTGGGAGACACTATAGAGACGTGTAAGATGGACGCGACCTAGGAGGCGACTGAGCGCGAATAATCCGAGAGCATTTCCGTCCATCCGATACGTTTCGTTCTGTGCTGCAAGTTTTGGCAGATGGATTGTTGAGAGAGGTCTGATTTCAAATTATTCCGGAACCGAATGTGTCGCGAAATTTTGAATCAAAGCCACGTGAAATCACAGCCACGTTGCGAATGCGTCCTGAGATTTGTGAGCTTAACTGTGAGAAGTCTCGATTTAAAACGAAGTTTATATAACGCAAATACGAACGCTTGTGTACACATATGCATTTCATGCTGTATGTCGGCAGGAATCGGACGTTTCGGAAAAAATATCGGCAAAATTCGGTATCTCGTAGAAACTCGCGAAAGAAACCCCCCCCCCGCCCTCACTCTCCGGAAGCAAAGAAAAAGCCCACTCTCGTCCGTAAAGCTCCACCAACATCGACAAACGCGTTCTGAACGTTCCGATCATAGCGGATAGCCACAACTGATTTGGCTTGGCGTAAAAAAAAAGACGTAAATTAACAAAAAAAAACTGATTTGTTTCGGTTCTTAGACGAACGAATGCATATCATAGTTGTAAATTAACAATTTGTGAAATAAAAGCTGCAAACTGTTTGTGTTAACAATACGTCACGTGCGTACGATGTGTGTGTTCTTGCCTGTCTCCGTTGCGCACCGCAATCCCTGCCGTGTATCCAATCTCGCGTGAAGCCCAGAGCGATATTATGCCGTAGGGATTGTTTATCGCTATCATAAGCCGCGTCCGCGCGCGCGAGATACAAAGGGTAAGTGCATAGCTCATAATCTTCCATTCGAGCGTGAAACAATAGCCGCCGAGACATCCGCCGCGAGACGCGCCATTCGAGCCGTATGTTCGCGAGAGAGACAAATGAGAAAGTTGGAGAAACCGAGCTGAAAATGTTTTTCAGTAAAGCTATTCAAGTTGCACGAGAGCCGTCAGTATCTTTCGAGGCGGTCGAAATTACTGAAATTGCCCGAGGTACTTGAATTTTGTTCGAATTATTCACAATCAGAATTAATCCCGGATCTTCGGTATCGGGGGAATCATTCAAATTATTCGGATTATTCAAATTGCGATTGCAATTAATCGAGGCGTGCACGGGTTATTCAAAGCTCGAGATTCAAGTCATATACCCGTTGTCGCGTCGTGCCGTATCGCGCAACGTGCGACGTAATTTCCAACCCCTGTTGCAGGTCTCGCTCGCCCTCGGACTGGAAGCGGGCGGATGGGGCGCGCTGGTGGAACGGACGAGCGCGCACGGAGGCGCCGGCGGCGGCAGCATCCTCGGCCATGGCGGCTTCACCGGCCTGGCCGGACTGGCGCGTCGCTGCGGCGTCTGCCTGGCGACGTTCCCGTCGCCGTGGCTGCTGGAGCGGCACGCGTTGCTGCAGCACGCCGGCCAGACCAGCGACGACAAGCCGTTCACCTGCGAGCAGTGCGGCCAGCGCTACCGCTACCGGTCCGCCTACGTCAAGCACCGCGAGCAGAACCACCGCGCGCGGCTACCGGCCGACAAGCTCTTCACCTGCGACGTATGCGGCATGCAGTTCAGGTATCTAAAGTCCTTTAAAAAGCACCGTCTCAACCACGCGCTTGAGCGGCTGCAGCGCGCGCCCGAGCCGCAGAGCAGCGTCGTCGTCGTCTCGGCGCCGGCCGAGCGCAGCGATCAGGTCTCGAGCACCGGCGAGCCGTCCCAGGTGGAGACCGGCAGCGACACCACGACGAATCCCGGCGACGCCGAGGAGATGCGCGGGGTCTTCTCCGAGGGCGCCCGCGGTGACGAGAGCGTCTCGGAGACCGCGAGCGTTCAGGAGAATCCCGGCGATACGGTGGAGGTGCAGATGACGGAGACCACCGCCACCGGGACCGGCGGGGTCAGCGTCAGTGGCGGTGGTACCAGCGAGGCCGGCGACGTGGACGACAACGCCGTCGACGACGATCGGCACGAGCCAAGCGAGGCGATGATCGGCCTCGCGCGCAGCGTCACCCGCGAGGCCGATCGTCGCGAGCGCCGCTTCGCCTGTCCGTTCTGCGGTAAGTGCGTGAGGTCCAAGGAGAATCTGAAGCTGCACGTGCGCAAGCACACCGGCGAACGACCGTTCGTCTGCCTGTTCTGCGGTCGCGCCTTCGGCGGCAAAAGCGACCTGACGAGGCATCTGCGCATTCACACCGGCGAGCGGCCGTATCACTGCGAGATGTGCGGCAAATGCTTCGCCCGGGCCGACTATCTCTCCAAGCATCTCACCACGCACATCCATCAGCGCTAACGCGATCGCAACTCGGCTCACCCGTCTCGACCTTCTCGGAGCAGCCCAAGAGCAGCGCGACAACGTGCCTCTTTCTCTCCGACGCGTCCCTCCGCGCGTTGACGTGCCCGCGCCATGGTCGTTGCAGGGTGACTCGAGGACTAAATTGTACAAGTAAAAAAACGTACAACTTACACACACGTTATATATAATACGTCAATAGCGAGGAGAATAGGCGAAATTAAACGGCGGTTTCTCTGGCGCGCTGATCAAGATGTTATATATAGAGCAATAGCGCGAAGAACGAGTATCTATTTACGCCCTAATTATTTTCTTTCTGACAAATTCAAGAGACATTCAAAAGATAAATTCCCGTTGCTCACTTCCGACTCGTAAATCCACAAAGCGATAACGGCAATAATCCTTGGTGCTGTTCGTTACTGATTTTTGACGCACTTCAATAAGCGCAAGTTAAAATCCAAATCTTGGAGTATTCGATCGTTTGCCATGTGCAAGATCGTACGTCGAGTCCGCAACGACGCTGCGCTCTCGGCTGATCGTTGCGAAATGTCATTTTACTCGCGAAGAGTACGAGCGTCAGATGAAACCGCTAAAGGAAGAAAGCTCTTACTGAGAGGAAGAAAGACGCACAGAGAGAGAGAGAGAGAGAGAAGAAAAAACGGACCGCATCTATCCATCGCCGCCGGCCCAACAAGACGCGTCAATTACGGAGAGACAAGGGAGAATGTAGTAAAATGCGAGATCGCGCGCGATCTCTACATACTACGGTCCACCAGGTACGTCCGACGATGGTTTCTGCGCTACGATAGTGAGACTAACTTGTGATAACGGATATGAAACCAAAAAGAGAAGAATGAGAAAGAACAAAAAAGGTAAAAAAAAAACCAAAGAACGCAACGACGCGGCGGACGAAAGCCGACGGTCAAAGGCTTCCTTTTGTTGTCTTCTTCGTCTTCGTGCTCCATCGACAAAGTGATATATTTGTAATGTAATAGCTAACCTCGATATACTCGATGTGTACTCGACGTGTAATATAATTCGCGATGTAACGATGCCGCGTGCGATTACGATAATTTCCCTCTACGCGAGCTCCGCGTGCAGACGCGAACACGTCGGCGGACTTTTCTTTTTATGCGGTTGGAAATCGATTCGCGTTGGATTCGCTTTTCGAGGGACGCGGGCAAATAAATCTTGAACTTGAGAAAATTGAGTCTTGAATTGAAGCTCGAAAATTAGAGAAATTACGCGAATTTCTTAAATTAAATACTTTCCTAAAATGCTTTAAGATCAATTTTCCTAAGTTCTTAGAAAAGTGAGTCGGTGTCCTCTCAATTCGGAGAACCCTTTCGCCACGAAAAACTCCTCGACAATTGGCACGTGCATGGGCACACGTCTATGTGGAAACTATAAGACGAGTTATTAAAAGTCCGCAATACTCACACCGAACATCTTTGATTATGCTATCAGAAGGTGAGGCACGCAAACTTTTCGTGATAAACTTTTTAAAAGCCAGAGTTTTCTGGCCCATTCTATTAATCTACTTTTGCTCGCGAGTGAACAAATAAAAAAAAAATGCAGATGCAAGCTTATCGCGGCGAAAGGAATCGAGATTAAAAGTATCGATGTGCAATACAAAAAAAAAAATTTGCGTAGCACGTGCAGCGTAAATTTTGGTATTTATTAATACTCTATGGATGAAATTACATGTTTTTCTCGAGAAAGAACGTCAATCCTATTTACTCGAAGCTTTGATTAAAAAATATATATATGTTTACTATATATCTGTATTTTACATTCTATTGTTCTTAAAGAGAATCTCCGAGGTAAATTTGAATTTCTATTCAATGCGCGACTATGGCGCGTCTTATTTTGAGATCCTGCACTAGTCCATAGAGGATTAAAGCATTCGTCAAACAGCTGCTTACTGCGATTATTGTCCGCGTAAAACGACGTGTTCGACGTTGGCACCGAATCGGGAGGGCGAACCTCCCGGAAAGCGTTGTCGGTGCCTTTGAATTCCCGCGAATGAACGAACGAATAATCCTTTCCTTGATATGATGCGGATAGCAATAATATATATCTTTTTATTTCCCCCGTCTACGTCTACGTCAGAGACACCAGCGCGATTTAGGTTCGTCGTCGGGAGCCGCGAAGTAGCGTCTTGTTGCACGGTCTATATTCGGTCCTTCCAAAAGTCCTCTCCATTTAGTCGCTCTCTTAGGTATTTATATACATGTGCACGATATATATACATGCATATATACAATAACGAGATGCTGTCCAGCTATGCGCTGAACCGCAAAACGAGAGTGGCCGGCTCATTCTCTTGGGATCGGTCTCGTAAGTAGCTTTAACTTCCGACCACTTCATAAACCAAGTCCGATCGTGCGTTCTCGTCGCGAGAGAGGTAGGAGGGACGTAGAGGGGCGTTTCTTAGGACATCTCGCGCGAGCCCGAAGGATCATTTACGAGACTGGATCCCTCTTCACTTGGTCAGAAAAACCACTTACCTAGCCCCTAAGTGATGTATAGTGTACTTGCTGCTCTGTGTACTTTCGCGCGCTCTCGAAAGTACGCGAAACGAAGTTGAATAACGAAGGTGCTATCTAACGAATAAGGTTGATCGCCAGATGCCGGCCGGCCGGTACCTCTATCCCGAGAAACGAAAAGCGTGAGGACAAAACGCGAGGAGAGAAAGATAGAGAGTGAAGAGAAGCTCGAGATTGCCAGCTAATGTCTACCGTGCCAAAAAGGAAAGTGTTTAGAAATGAGGGAAGAGAGAAAAGAAAAAATAGAGAACCAGAGAAAGTGAGCAAGAAAGAGAGAGAGAGAGAGAGTGAGGAGAATCTATTCCGTCGGGCGAAAATTCAATTTCCCTCCAAGACCGGCCCGGTGCTGCGATAGGCCAATTTAGTCCGTAATTACCGTATTATTATACCGTCTCGATAAGGATGTAATTTAACGATTAGATACGTCGATATTGTGTCGTCCGTGGTGGTGCGACCATCGTGTCAAGATTTTATTAAGAGGAACGTGTCCAACGAATGTCAACGAGAATTTGCGGCGAGACGCGGGGAAGCGTTTCGCTCGCGTTTGCACTCTTTTTAATTTCCCACTTCTCGCCGTTTCGCCATATATATATGTATATATATGTGTATATATACATATATATACCATATATATATATACCATATATATATATATAGATATATATGTATATGTGTATATGTATGTATATACATACAGACACTCGTCCGCCCTAAGCTGGACGTATATACGTGGTCCTCGGGTGCGTTTGGGCTCGAGGAGCGCGGGCTAGAAGATTAAAGAAAACAGTTCCATGACGCCTGACGCCCCGATCGTTAGTCTAACTGCCCAACGTCCACCCACTGCCGTTCCATTTCCACTTCCACTGTCGCCGTGATAGCCGAGGAAAGCTGCAAATCGCTTCGTCGTAAATCAGAGGCGAGATTTTTGGGCTTGGAAAAAAAAAAAGATCGAAATCCGGGATTTTTGAAATTTTTGTTACCGAAACAACATCAAAGTATTATATTAATATAATATTAATTTAATTATATTAATATATAATCAAATTACTATTATATTAATCCTAGAATACTAATTATAATTTTCAATTATGGTTTTCAAATTTTGATAATAATCATTTTGACAGATATATTTTAAAGGCAGCACATCTGACTGCAAGAGGTTTTCTAATAAATTTTTCTATAACATTATTTTCTTAGTAATCTAATTTTGAAAATATCAAAATTTTTGCTATAAAAATTAATGAGACTACCAGAATATTTAGAATTATGGACATATTATTTTTTAATTTAATATATTTAAAAAAATAGATATATGTTATTATGAATTCATTATTTCATTTATTTGTAGCATTCTAAAATCAAGTTTGCGCGCGATGTTTGAATTCTCAAATCTCCGAGTTCTCTTTCATTCACAGATTTTGCAATGTTTGAGCGACCTCTGATTCATATAGATCTTAGTAATCTCAGGATCTTTCGACACTCTTGCGAATTCAGCACGTTTGCGTCGTGATCCCCGTTGCAAAGGTTTGCACGAGGTCTCTCGCCGATGTGCTTATAGTCGTGACTTGAATCGCGATTCAGTACGACACAGTGCCAAACGATTATTCTATACCAAGGTAGTGGGTTAGCGAAGGCGAGGGAACGCGACCTGCAACGCGAGTGCTGCACCAGGTAAAAGTCATTTCGGGGCCGTTTGCCGCTTTCCGAAATTTTCGGTTGTCCCTACGCTCTGGAAGATGGGAACGAATGAAAGTACACCCCGAATTAAACCACCGGAAGCACCGCCGGACGTAGTGTTTGCGTTCGGGCGTAATAACGCTAAATAGTGACTACGCGGACAATCTAATCTCTTTTACAGCGGAACGTTACAGCGGAATGCGTCGTTACTCTTAGTTACCGTATTAATTGTATTTTGTAGACAGTAGTACGACTTCGAGTCAGCCAGCCGCCGCTTTGTTGAATTAACTGGTGAAGTGGCGCGCGTGTACTGTACTCTCTCTCGGATAGTCGATACAAAACTGTTGCGATTCTTCCACCTCGTCGCGTTCTTGGTAAACGTCGAAAATCGGGAACGGGGAACACATTCTTTTAAGAACGTGATCGCTAAGTACGAGAGTACCTTGAAGTAACAATTAAATCATGTGATATTTTACTAATATGTGTACCAGGCGCGTTTAGTATACAATATATATAAATATATATAGCGAAAACTACTAGTCATTTTCCACAATTGGAGTTTGAGATTTAGTCATAAAATCATATGTGATAAAATCGATTAAGTCTACTGTGTGTATATGATTATCGACGCGAGCCGAAGAGAGAATACTTTTCTACAATATCCGACTAACATTATTCCCGTCATCAAAATCAACAATGTTTCGTCGTTAAAAGTCCTTTATTTTGCACGATACAGCAGTTTATTTTCAGCTACGAATCGCCAAGACAATTTAA